AGGGCTGGTTGGGTTGAACTAGGCTTCAATGCCCATTGACATGTATGAGAGCTAAATGGGATGTGGGAGAGACTGAACAAGTCTGCAGTACAATCTGGCAAGCATGGGAACCAGGGTAGGGGGCAGGCCTGGTGGGGGTTATGGGGAGTCATCCTGACTAGGCTGCAGCTCCCACTGGTTTGCATGAGGGCCAAGTATGAAGTGGACAGGATTGGGCTGGACTGCAACACCCATCAGTTCATGTGGAAGACAGGGCTAGAAACAGAACCAATCCAGCAACTGCAACCATCAGCATGTGCATAAGCTGATTGGGGTGACGGACTGTACCCGACCCTGTACTGGCAAGCACACACAAGAATCAGGTCTGGGATCACCTCAGACAAAGTTTCTCTGGAGATCCCTCCAACTGAACTGCTGATCTCAGAACCCCAACCAAGAAGGGCCTATGTCAGCCAGTGGATTCTGAAGAGATTTCACTGCGATTGGAATGGCGAGATTGGGAGCAATTCAGAACAGTTGAACTATCAAAACTGCTTGAGCAGGACCCTTGGAGCATGCCCCACATCAGGGACCTGGGATGGGAGGGAGGCTGGAGAGGGCTTCTCCCTTTGTTTCTCCCCTGACCCCAGATACAGGGGGAAAATGATGATATTAGTGTGAAAACAATGGTATGACCCACTTTCCTGTAGCCCTTGACCTTTTGTACCCTAAGTAACTAAATAAGACAATCAAAAAAACAAAGTAAAAAAAAAAAATCTACTTGTAAGTGAATTCTGAGCTCAAGCCTTTTATCTAAGATAAATATTATAAAATAGAAATTTATCATTTGCCTTTCCTCCAATGACACTTTCCTCCAAAATGTGTTAGACACAAATTAATAAAGGAAAAATTTCACTTTCACACAAAAGAATGCCAAGAAAGGTACTGACTATCCTCAAAGTACAGTACAAGCCTGGGTCAATATAAAAATATTTGTATTCCAAACTGCTTTAGAGCAGACTTCTTCAATGACACACATCTGAGGCGGCAGATGTGCCAACTACTCCAATCTGATGATTACACAATACACATATGTACTGAAATGTCACACTGTACTGTGTCTACATGTCAATGAAACAGTGGTAAATGTTTTTTTTAAAAGCAGAATTTATTTAAGTAATTTAAGTAATCAGACATTTTATATCTGGTTCCAAAAATCTGATTATGCCCCCAACTTAATCTAGAGCTGCCTGAGTGGAAAATGAAAGGTAACTGACATTCTCATGTCACCACCATGACATGCTGTTCACACTGTAACACAATCTCAAAACATAAAAGTGACACTGTAAAATATCAAAGCAAAGAGCAGAAATATTCAAATGTGAAGGCCACTGTAAAAGTTAACTTTAAAAACATGTGGACAGATCAGTATCCTTCTAGAACGATCTGGATTTAGACGATATTTGCTTTCAGCGGGCAAGGGAAGACGGCCGTAGGAGCGGGCAGTGACAAGCTTAGCCAATCTTACTACAGCTAATTTAATTACTCCCGTTTCAAGACAGGTAAAACTGCACATATCCAAGAGTTACAGCAGCACACAGGCTGTGCTGCACACACCTTCTCAGGTGCTCGCTGGGATACCCAGCAACACAGGGTGCACTGAATTACAAAAGGGAAAGCTTTGTACTACTATTACTATCCCTATCTAGGTCGCCATAAAACAGGTTGGAGTTTTCAAAGCAGAAAGCGTCTGGGGCCAGTCCTGCCCCAGCTGATCCAGCTTCGCCCCAAGGCTCCAGGGAGGCAGCCGCTGATGGATGACCCAAGGGCATGAGACCAAGACCCTGTGAGTTCCTGGCTCCTGGCTGCAGGGAGCACTACAGGAAGAATCAGAATCACAAATCCTAAATCCCTCCCCCTCTTTGCGCTGCATTATAAACAAACAAACTGTAAAATAAACAGAAAAACAAAACTGAAGCGAATCACTTCTAGGCTGCAGAATGACAGCTTTGATTGTTTAGTCCTTGTTTTCTAACACTAACGGAGCATGAAGGTCCGCTCCAGCACTTACTCCCACAAGGTGAGGAGCAGAGGGCAAGCGCCTGGCCTGGCGGTGAGGCCAGCTGGGCTAGAGACCCAGCACGCACGCCCCGCAGACCTGTGGCTGAAGGCAGGGCCCATCCCAGCCAGGAGGGAGCCTCAGGCTGAGTCCCCAGTCCTGCTTCCTGTTTGTTCTAGCCAGCATGTGGGAAGTGAACCAATGGACACGGATTCCTCTCTCAAATAAATACATTTATTAAAATGTTTTAAGGGTCCAGCGAGTCCTCGCCTTGCACACACTGGGTTCCCATATGGGCGCCAGTTTGTGTCCTAGCAGCCCTGCTTCCCTTTCAGCTCCCTGCTTGTGGCTTGGGAAAGTAGTCAAGGACAGCCCAAGGCCTTAGGACCATGCATTCTCGTGGGAGACCAGAAGAAGTCCCTGGCTCCTGGCTTTGGATGAGTGCAGCTCCGGCCACTGCAAGCTGCTTGGAGAGTGAACCAGCGCATGGAAGATTTTCCTGTTTCTCCTCCTCTCTGTATATCCTACTAACCAATAACAAAGTAAATAAATCTTTAAAAGAAGGCACTATAATGCCCCCCCACCGAAGAGGCCTAATGAATTTACTCCGGGGCAGGTGTCTGGCATAGCAGGTAAGACCCCACAGGGGACACACGCAATTCACTCACGATCAGCGTGCATGGGTTCAGGGCCCAGTGCTGCCCCTAATTCCGGCTTCCGGCTCACACACACCTGGGAGGCGGCAGGTAAGAGGTCCAGGTACCCTACTCCCTAGCACCCACGTGGGAAACTCAAGAGCCAGCTCCCAGCTGCTGCTTCAGCTCAGCCTGGCCAAGTGGTGTGTGAGGAAGGAACTACAAGAGGGGAGCTCACTGTCTCTTTCAAATAATTAAATGAAAAACTTTAGGTTTCTATAGACACATTTTCACATACTTATCTTAGAAAAAAAAAATTAATAAACAAGGCAGAGATGGGATTGACCTGCAGAGCCTGGAGCCTGGGACCGGGAGGGGCGTGGCTGAAGGAATCATACTGTGCTCCCTGGAGCCTGGCCCAGTGCTCTGCCACCAGGACTGCTCATCAGACTCCCACACGAGGTCCCCGTGTTTGTCCTTCACTGTCCTGGCCTGGGACCTCATCTAACACCCCTCTTCTGCAGCTGGCCTGCAGTGGAGCCAAGGCAGAAGCTCCTCAGCGTGTATTCAAAGCGCATCTAAGTTCGAAACAAGCCATGAGGTCCCCGACCGTGCGCTCTCACTAAGCAGCCAACCACCACGGTCACCTGTTGGGGTCGAAGCACTCTCAGAGGAGACAGTAGGACCACAGTTACACCTTACCGGGCAACAAGAGTCTTCCAACTGCGCCAGGGTGTGCTCATGTGAAAGGCAGTCACACACACACACTCATCTTCCACCCACTGGGTCACTCCCCCAAAATGGCATCCATGGCCACAGGCGGCCCAGCCAGAGCAGGCAACCTGGAATCCTACCCAGGTCTCTCACTGCCTGCTGAGCCCCACATGGGCCAGCCCTGGACTGCCTTCCGAGGCACATTAGCAGGGAACAGTGTGGAAGGGGGGGGGGGGGGGGGGAACAGCCAGGACTCACTTGGACTCATAGGCACACCTACATAGAATGTCAGCGCAGCAAGCGACAATGTAACCTGTGGCACTACAGCCCCAAACAGGTATGCTTTCAACATGAGGCATGGATGAAAAAGTTTGGAAATACCTTCCTGTCTTGAGTCACTTGTTCAAAACAACGTGAGAAGGCCCTAAGTAAGAACTAAATGACCGCTTCTGAGGCTGAAAAGGTCATGGTGGTACACGCCAATACTTCTCCGTGGGACTGGCCCGGACTTCAAGCACCACTCCCATGCTCTTGAGCCCCACCATGTCGCCATGGTGCGGAACATTGTGCCAGTGACTAGGCAGTGTTTGTACCTTGTTAAGTCACCTGCATATAAACCAACTGGTGCTGAAGCAATCAAAGCATTACATAAGCACTCACACACAACAACATGGCTGTCAGATCACACACGGAGGCTTTGCTGATGACCCCCAACTTACCCACCGCACATCCCACTGCCCCTCACAGGGAACCCCAACGCAAACCGGCCGTGCCATTCTCCACGGCCCTGGCCATCACCTCACCACAAAGGAGACACGCAGGCGCACACCGGACAAGCCTCCCAAGTCTGACCCACGACCTGAACCCGAGATTCACCACCCACAAAAGGGCCACGCAACTCGGGACAGACAGAATCACAACTTCCTGCTTCCGCGTGGCTGGGTACTCGGGGCGACGCTTGGCATTCCTTTCGCAGTCACCTAGTCTCGGAGAGCTTTCGGTTCTTTACTGGGGCGGGGCGGCGGGGGTGGGGGTACCAGGACTCGGCCAGGGCAGGCTGCAGGGTTCACACCCCCATCCCCACCCGCAGCTGCAGGCGGCCCAGCAGTGCGTGCACCTGGCGCGGAGCCTCAGGATTAGCTTCCAAATTCATTGTGAACGAACACACGTGATTTCTGCAAAGCTTCCTTGCACCTAGGTGCTCAGACATCCCACCCAACCAGACAAGCCATCCACGGTGAAGACCCGTGTCTCACACACACACACACACACACACACACACCGCACTGACCCTGACCCGCGCTTCCCCTGGGCCCAGCTCTGGCCTCTGGGCCGGGCCACTAGGTTCGCAAGCTCGCGGGGCCTCGGCGTCCCTGAGTGACACTTGCACCCCGAAAAGCAGATCCTCTCGGAAGAGAAGGGGGCTCCCATCCCGTCGCCCTGGCCAGGGCCTGCGGAGACGGGGTGCAGGGGAAGCAGGGGGGCAGCGCCGGGCTCCCCACTTGGGAGACCTCAAAGGGGAAACACTGAGTTCTCACTTCCTGGTCGCCCGCCCCTCCCGCCCGCACCCGGGGGAGCCCACGGAGCCCGGCCTCGCCCGCCCCGGGCCTTACACGGTGACGTGACCCGAGCCGCGGACCACCACCGGGTCCGGCGAGTACTTGAGCAGCTGCTCCTCCAGGGCCCGCTCCTCGTCCTCCTCCTCCTCGTAGATCTCGTCGAAATCCGCCATGCTGAGCCTCGGCGCGCCCCCCGGCCCTGCCCCTGCCCACCGGGGCCTGGCTCCAGGGGCGTGCGCCCCGCTGCCGGGCTGCCGGGCTGCCGGGGACCGGGAGCCGGGGACCGGGGGCCGGGGGCCGAAGGGCCGGGGCAGCCGCCGGCGCGGGCTCCGAGGCCGCGCGGAGTTGGCTCTCGGCTGTCTCGGCTCCGGCTACAGCTGGGCCGGGGTCCGGGCCGCCGCCGCCATTACCCTTGAGCACTCACAACAACAAACAGTGTCAACATCCGCCCGGGGGCCGCCGCCGCCGCCGCAACTCGGGCAACCACAGCAACAGCCCGAGCCACCCGCAGCGCCGGCAGCCGGCTACGGCATCGCGAGACTTGCGCGGGAGTGCGCGACGCGCGCGCGCCGGCCGGGCGGGCGCGGGCGTGGGCCGGCGCGCGCGCCCCCGGGGCCGCCAGCGCGCGGGGCGGGAGCGCGCGGGGCCCTGAGGCGCGGGCACGGGGCGGCGGCGCCGAGGTCTCGCTCGCCCGTCGGCGTGTGGAAAGCTGCCGCCCCGACAGACGTGGTGGTCCACCCCGGTTTTCCTCAGTTTCGGGTCTCTTGGCCACTGGAGTCCCGTGTCAGAGGAAAACAGTGGTGTCGTTGTGAATTCCTCTGAATCAGAATTGCCAACTCCTGTGCCAGCTCCCTGGCCAGGGCTGACCCCCAGGAGCGGCGTGGAGCTCCCGAGGAGACACTCCCCGGCGCTGGCCACCTCTTTAAGAACCGTGTTGGGGGTCCTAGCTGAGGTGGGGCCAGCGCCGAAGGAGCCCCCGGGGTGAGACCATCCAGGTCCTCTGAGGTCTTGGCCACACCTTCAGGTGGGTGGCACCAGCATTGCCCACCCATTTCTAATTAATTAAGAGACCACCAATGGGAAACATCTTACCTGTAGGCTCCCGCCCAACAAGGAGGGGTCACGGAAGGCTTAAAACCCCTAGACCCTTCCTCAAACCTTTGGTGTCTCTCTCTCCCTCCTCTTTCGAGAGCACCCCACCTCCAGGCTTCTCTCCCAGAGGTGCTTCCCTTTCCTTCCCTTCCCTGCTCCCTGGTCCCTTCGCAAATAAACTTTTCTGTTTGCAACAGATTCCCGGCTTTTTATTTCTATACTAAGCTGAGGAAAGAACCCACCGGGCATTTCTGGTAACAGGGGGACCGCGGGGAAATGCCGAGCCAGCTCCTGTGGGAAGTAAGCCAGGTTGACCAGGAGCTGACCATGGAGCAACCCGGGAGATGTGTCAGACTTCCTGCCTGCCCAGAGCAGCCTCTGCCCAGACAGACGAGTGGCCGAGGTAGTCCTCCTCCTGCCAGCCACGCAGGTGCACCCAGGAGATGCCTGGGCCTGCTGGTTGACCATGGCTTGGAGCCTGGCTTCTGGGACACAGCCACTGAGTCTGATGGTGTGTGTCCCACGGGGCTACGGGGCAGATCCGGTGGCTCTGTGTAGAGGAGGTACCGGAAGACACAGTACAAACGGAGTGAGAGCCGCTGGCTGGCAAGGCCGCGCCCTGCCCTGCTGTCCTGCAATGGTCAGCGTTACCCACAAAGCTCCCTGGGTTCCTTCCCAGCTTAATGCAGAAATAAAAGGCTGGGAGGCAGTTGGCAGGCAGAAGAGAAGTTTGATTTCCAAAGTGAACAGTGAATGTCAAGGGTGGGGGGAAGCCTGGGAGATGGGAGAGAGAGACACCAGGGTTTCAGGAAGAATCCCTGGCCCCTTCTGTGGCTCAGTCAGTCAGGGCTCCCACCTGGGCAGACTTGGGGAACACCTTCCCTCTCAGGGGTGAGGGTGTGGCTGAGCAGTGCCTGGGCTGCCCCCTTGGCAGTAAGGTTTCCAGAGTAGGCAGCCCCCTGAGGCCAGGAGAGCAACTCTCTGCTTCTAAGGGGCAGGGCAAGTCAGCAAGCCCTCAGAGAGCTGTGAGGAACGGTCCTGGAACTGGACAGAGAGACCTCAGGGACTGCCGTGGCCTGCAGCAAGCGGGGCTGTGTGTGTTTCCGTCGTGCTTGTGCTGTGCTGAGAAGCCCGACAGAGCTAGCAAAAGGGTGTGGGACCTGCCATAGGGCCGCCAGGGCCAGGAGGATGAGTCAAAGGCTTCCTTAATAAGCGCTGACATCATCATTCCAAACTCCACCCCCGGCCCGCCAGGGTCTGGCTTCTGCTCAAACTCCCTCCCTCATCTCTTCCTGGGGTGAGCCAAACCATCTTGTGATGCTCTCGGTTCTTCCTGGTGCACACTCACCCCGATGACTCCCTTACACACCTCTCCAGCCCTTTGCCTTCGGACCAGAGGGCTAACAGCTGATGGAAGCTCCAGGATCCTTGGAAGACAGTGGCTCTGACAGTAGAATCTCGTTGTTTCTTTCACTTTGTGGTTCAGTGATCTTGGGCATACTCAACCTACTTTTTTTCTTTTATATATTTGAAGAGCTGGTGTAGTTGCATAATCCTCCACCTGCAGGGCCAGCATCCCATATGGACACTGGTCCAAGTCACAGCGGTTCCATTTCTGGTCCAGCTCCCTACTAATAACCTAGGAAATCAGGTCCTTGGGCACCTGCACTCACATGGGAGACCCAAAAGAAGCTCCTGGCTTCAGATCAGCTCAGCTTCGCCCACTGCAGCCATTTGGGGGAGTGAACCAGTAAATCTCTGTTTCTCCCTCTCTCTGTAACTCAGCCTTTCAAGTAAAAATAAATCTTTAGGGTTCGGCACAATGGCTCAATGGCTACATCCTCACCTTGCAAGTTCTGGGATCCCATATGGGCACTGGTCTGTATCCTGGCTGCTCTACTTCCCTTGCAGCTCCATGCTGGTGGGCTGGGAAAACAGTTGAGGATGGCCCAAAGCCTTGGGACTCTGCGCTCTTGTGAGAGACCAGGAAAAAGCTCCTGGTTCCTGCCTCCTGGCTCCTAGCTCCTCGCTCCTCGCTCCTGGCTCCTGGCTCCTGGCTCCTGGCTCCTGGCTGCTGGTTCCTGCCTCCTGGCTCCTGGCTCCTGGCTCCTTGCTCCTGGCTCCTGGCTCCTGGCTGCTGGCTTTAGATCAGCTCAGCTCCAGCACTGCAGCCATTTGGGGAATGAACCAGCACATGGAAGGTCTTTCTCTGTCTCTCCTTTTCCCTGTAAATCTGATCTATCTTTGCAATCAAAATAAATGTCTAATTTTTAAAAAATTATGTATTTTGTATTTTTTAAAATATATTTATTTGAAAGGCAGAGATAGAGCATGAGACAAAAAGAGAAAGAGATTTTCCATCTGCTGGTTCATTTCCCGAGGGCCCTCAATGGCCAGAGCTGTGCCAAGCTGAAGCCAGGAGCTGGATCTCCCACGTGGATAACGGGCTCCCTCACTCGACCACCTTCCACTGCCTTCCCCGAGCGCATCAAAAGGGAGCTGGATAGGAAGCTAGGACACAAGCCGGTGTTGAGATGGGATGCCAATGTCTCGGGCTTAACCCACTGCACTGCAACAGCAGCCCCAAAACACAATTTCCTAAGGTCTTTTTTTAATCTTAAAATGAAAACTGTGGTTGTACATCACAGATCTAAAGAGGTCATGAAATTGGTTTGTTGGCCCTTTAATCCAGTCTTGCCTTGGAAGCCCCAAAACTCAAAAAACCGCTGCTGTTTCCTTATTCCTCCACCTTCAAAAAGCCTCCTCACTCTATTCAACAGCTACAAGTTTCAGCCATAAAAGTCACGTTACTAAATCACCATTTCCTAAGCTGTTTTTTATAGGTTCCCCACAAAACTGCCCTAATTCAGTGTTAACTGCATTAAGACTAAGGAGCTGGGCCACACTTGGTATGGAAAGAAGCGCTGTGATCTACAGGCAACACCCTAACCAAAAAGGGCATAATGAGCAGAAACAGAACAGCTGGGCAGACAGAGAGAAGACTGACCATCTGCTGACCAGGCACTGGGGTACAGCAGGGTAAACTGCCACCTGTAACTCCTATGTCCCAGGCAAACACTGGTTCCAGTCCCAGCTGCTCCACTTCTGACCCAGCTCCCTGGTAATGCACCTGGGAAGGTGGCAGAAGATGGCCCGATTATTTGGGTCCCTGCCACTCAAGTAGGCAACCCAGATGGAGTCCCAGGCTCCTGGCTTTGGCCTGCTCCAGTCCCGACCCTTACGGTCGTATGGGGACTGAGCCAGTGGATGAAAGAGTCTGTCTCTCTCCTTTTCCCTTCCTCTCTGGAACTCTGCTTTCAGATGGCTATATATTTCAAAATAAATAAAGGGGCCAGCATTCTGTATAGTAAGCAGAGCTGCCCCCTGGAATGCTGCCTTCCCATATGGGCGCTGTTCAAGTCCAGCCCCCCAACTAGTGAATCTGGGAAGGCAGTGGAGTATGGTCTAAGTGCCTGGGCCCTTGCACCCACGTGGGAGACTTGGAAGAAGCTCCTGGTCCCTGGCTCCTGGCGTCAGCCTGGCCAGCTATCTGCTGTAGGCATCTGAGGAGTGATCCAGTGGATGGAAGACCTCTCTCTGTCTTTGTCTCCCTCTGTAATTCTTTCAAAAGAAATGAATAAATCTTTAAACAACTAAATGCACATCTAATGATGTCAGTGCATGGCTTTCAATCCTCACCTCCTTTGCTTTTAGAATAAATTTCAGACTTCTTGCAGCATGCACCAGTTTCCCACCACCTTCCTCATACCTCCATCTCTTTGGTTTCTAAGTCATTGAGCCTGCTCTGTTTGGCCTCAGGTCGCTTCAGCCTGCTATCCCCCTTGTCTAGAACCTTCTCTTCTTCATTCCCTACTTGGCTATATCCAGAGGAGAAAGCCAGATTGTTCACAGTATCTTGGGTCTGGTTACTGCTTGTCTGGTCCCTGTATGCCTGCAGTCCTGACGGTCACATTGGTAGTCGTGTGGTGGCCCTCCATCAGGGTCATTATGCAGGGCAGGATTTCCACCTGCTCATGTTGTGGAGACAAAAGCGTTCAGTCCATTGTAGGCTGCGTGCTTCAAGAGCAGGAACATATTTCTCCTGGCTCTGGAGGCAGGCACGTCAGGGTGGAGGCACTAGCTGATCTGGGTC